GGGGGGGGGGAGAGGTACTTGTGAGGGATGAGCGCCCAACAGGAAAATGAGGCAAAAGGTCACGCGCGCTGCCGCCTGTGGTTGGCGGGGCAGAGCGGCGCGGGTTGCTCGGCGCGTTTGTCGGCGAGGCCCTACAGCGGTCGCTAAGCCCTTCTCGGGACCCCCTCCGGACCGCCTACTCACCGTGTTGTGCACGAAGCCCTGCGGCGGCAGCAGCGTCCGGGCGGGCAGCACGCCTTTGTCGATGTACAACGTGAGCCGAATCACGACCTGCATCAGCATCGCGATGAACAGGTTCTTGTGGATCCGCGTCCGGTTGTTCCTCAGGTTCCTGGAACAGACAGGCGATAAGGGTGATAAGAGACGTGGGCGGGCCGCCGGAGCTCTAGAGGGAGCAAGTTGTCCTAGGGCGTTCCAGCCCCCTTCTCCGCTTTTAAAAAAGCTATACAGGGTAGCCCATAGACCCCTTCCTTTATTTTCCTTGTACCGCACCGCACGCAGTCGTGCGGACGGGCTTGCCTACCGTCGCTCACCACGGCACCGTATGGCCCCGTGCGAGTAAGCAACCCACCCCACTACATGCGGTACAGTATGAGCAAAATAAAGGAAGGGGTCTATGGATCACCCTGTAAGTCAGACAGCGAGCTGCCGAGCTAGTGTAAAGTGAGAAGATGCCTCCCAAGCTGATGTTCGTTTCCTGCTGGGCAACGCTCGTCGACCGACGACTTTTCACGAGGGGGCCACCACTCGCGTAATCCTGTGTACAGATGAGGGTGTAATCCCTACGTAATCCTTATCTATTCCGTGTAATCCTTGACCAAATTTTAAAACATTATCACTAAGTTTTACCTTATTGTCTAAATTTGATGGTTTTAGAGACTAAAATTCAACAAAATTCACGTGTAATCATTTAAAGTTGACGTGTAATCCCTGTAATCACGTAATCCTGTGTACATCCTCAATCGAAGTGGTGGCCCCCTCGACTTTTCAGCAGTGCACCCCGCTTGCGATTTGGCTTTGATTATTTCTCAAACTGCGACATCATTCACCCCCGCCCCCGCTTTCCCAAGACAAGAGTCACACTTCGGAGTAGTTCATTGTCCTGGTCGGTTCTGATGGAGATGCCATCTTGTTTTAGACTGTATACAGGCTACGCCACACCAATGGTGGTGCCAAAAACATGCAACGTCACCGCCACCGGTACATTCGAAATGTAAAGGAATTAACCATTATTTTGTTCCTACATCAGGAACGTTTTCGTGCACATCCAGAACGGATGCAATTCTGTTCCTAAAATTGAACACACAGTGCACAGCACAGCACAGCTGGACGTGCACGAAAATGGTTCCTTTTCCAGAACAAAATGGTCCCTTTGCATTTGGAGCGTGCGGGGTGGTGGTGTGGGGGTGGGTAAGCAAAGCCCCCACGCAGTTGTGTGTAGCTGGCGGTCGCGCCCCGAGGGAACGTCACCACCTCGCCTAATAGCGTCACCTCGGGGAACGTTCATTGTGGGGCCACCAAGCACAGGGACCTCAATAGCCCCCGCTCCTAGTGTCTGTCTGTCTGCATGTCTGTCTGTCTGTCTGTCTGTCTGTCTGTCTGTCTGTCCCACCTGTTCGCCGAATAAGACCGAGAAGGACTTGGGCGAGGGCTCTGAGATTTTGAGGGCGTACACATTTAGGAAGTACACTTCTCAACCATGAACAGTGAATCACTCTAAAGGTATAAATCCAACCAATTACAGCATTTGTTTTACGAAAGACAAAAGACGCTGCAGCTTCAGTTTTACGGATTCCCGTGAGGGCTAGCGCTATGGTGATGCGAAAGCTTCATTTCCGCAACACTGCGCAAGGAGGCTGCTGGGCGGACAGCTGCTCGACACCTGTAAACAAAGCTCGTCAGCGATCCGACACGCCACGCCCAGCTGTGATCGGGCCCCGGCCGGCTCTCTAATCGAATAGTCAGCTCTCCCGGAGTGACACGGAACGGAACAACCGGCCGCGGGGGTGCGGGGGCGCGGGGGCGAGCAACGGCACACCAACCCACCGAGGCCCCGAAACCACAGCCACTGAGACGACAGGGGAGTGGAGCTGGGGGCCGGCGGGGTCCCTATACACTAGAAACCTGGGGGTGCGCGCACGCTGAGAACATTTTTTTTCCTTCCGGGCACTAGACGGTTGTTTAATGCGCCCAACTTTGTTCCTGGCACAAAAAAGTTAAGTGCCCGCCACTTAAATTATTGTTTGCGGCAACAAAATTTTGAAGCTCGGTAACAAAACTTTTGTGCCCAGGACAAAACTTTTTAGAGCGCCCAAACTTTCGGTCTCGGGATCAAATGTTTAGTGCTCAGGACCAAAAAATTTTCTCAGTTCAGCAGCAGGGCGACTTGAATTGCCCGACCCCAGAATCGGTCTGGTGGGTCTAGCACCTCAGAAGAAAAGTATAAAGTAAGTAGGCGACGACGCCAACGACCGATTGTAGGGTCGGGGTGAGTAAAGTCGCCCAGCTGCTGGACACGACACTCCGGGCGGCTGAAGGGCAAACCAAACGCTGCTATCGCCTTAACCCCGCGCCGTGGCCCGCGCCCCGCGGGGACAAGCAACAGGGGTTGCGCAGGCGCGCTCCCGACTGATGATGGCCTGCGACGGGAACTTGGTGGGCGCCGCGATGGGGAAACGGAACGAAAATAAACCAGAGTTATCTTTTGCAAATTGGACGGGGGGCGGGAGTAATACAGCCCGGGTGTGCCCTCGCGGCTGTGCCCTCCCGGCGGGGCCCCGCCACAGCGTGCCTCGCGGCCCTCGCGCGGCACGGCAGGCGTTGCGCAAGCGGTCCTTGCGTCACGGCAGGGGCGGCAGGGGCGGCAGGGCGTTCGGAGAAACGTGCCCTACCCCGCCAGAGGACTCCTCTTACGTAAGGCCAGAACGCTGCGTCCGAACGCTTGCTTGCAATGGACCGGACAGGGGGCGGGGGAGAGGGGGGGCGCCACGGGGAGGGGAAGGACTGCGCAGAGAACTCATTGCTTGAGTGTATTGGTCTTCCCGCGCGCTTTGCAGCTTGTCCTCTTATCGGAAAAATAAAAACTTGAAAAGGGAGGGGGGGGGGGCGTCGCGGCGCTGAGTGGGCGCTGTACTGGCGCAGCCACACTCAGCGCGTCCTCCGCGAAGAAAAAGCGCGAGACCGGCGGCGGGACACGGCCGAGCTGTGCGCGGCGGGCCGATATCGAGGAGAGGAAAAAGCAGCGGGTGTGCGAGCCGCGGGTGTGAGGCGTCGTCTGCGACGCCGCAAACAACAAAACGACGCCGCCGCTGCTGCGCTGGCGGGGCGGGGCGGGGCGCGGCGGGGCGGGGCGCGGCGGGCGAGCGCGAGCGTGTTGGCGTGTTCTACCCTACGGTTTGGGCACGGTGAGCGGCCTGGACGGGCCCGGCCGCTGAGTGACCGCGGCCAGCTCAAACATGCCGGCGCCGGCTGTTTGATCAGATGGATACCACCGGTAACGCCCCGCCCCGCCCCGCCTGATTGGACGGCGCCCTGCGCGCAGACGTGAGGGTACCATTAGGGTACCGTTAGGGTACCGTTAGGGTACCATTAGGGTACCGTTAGGGTACCATTAGGGCACCGTTAGGGTACTCCGCTGGAAGGAGTCCGGAACCTCAAGAAGAAGAGCTAGAGCAGGCGCCGGACGTACTTCCACGTGCGCGGTTATTTGCACCGTAAAAAATTCGTTCGTCCATGTGGGATATATTTTGTAATTTAACCGGATACAATTTGTGTTGTACAATACAAATTTGATTCCAAGTCGACACGCAGGGCTTGTAATTTAAAATTTATAATTGTAGTTGTACACTGTAAAGTTTCTTTGTCACGATGACAAAAATACCATGGCTAATTTTAAGTACAGGGGTGTCGTCATGAGTTTTCTCGTCAAGGAAACCCATGACGACACCCCTGTACTAAAAATTAGCCATGGTATTTTCATCATCGTGACAAAGAAATTTTACAGTGACGACACACGGAAAAAAAGAATTAGTCCTCAAAAGTAACAAATTGGCTACTTTTGGGATAGCTAATCCCAAATTTGCTGTGGCATCATACAGTTGGTTGCTACAGACAAGAGTTAGTTGCCACCGCAAAGCTGTCGCTGCAGGAGCCAATCGGTTCGTTCTGACAACTTAATTGCGGGTGTTTCGCTGTCAGGAGGAAAATGTGCGGCTTGTTTGTTCCGTTGAAATAAAAAAAGTCCACATTCATTTGATATGGATATGTAAAGAAGTATTTTCTTTCAATCAAAGACCCTTTTTTTATGCAAATAGATACTTATTTTTGGATCAAAGGCTTCTTTGATTTAAAGATAGAATTTGTTTGAGTCTATATCAAAGAAACGATTCTCTGGGTACTATTGGAATACATATATTAAACAACATTGGTTATTTAACAAGTTGAGTCCCACGTGACTACACGTATCACCACGCAATAAGTTGTGTTTGTCAACCCCCTTGGAATTCAACGTGTCAAACCCGAACCGCATTCGGATGTAGAGAACCTGTCTCACTCCTCATCTCACATATAAGAAGATGGTACACTTTACACATACCCTAAAAAAGGCCAAGGCGCTGCGTGTGTGCCAGTGTGCTTGCTTGCGTGTACGCCCCGCCCCCCCTATCTCTCTCTCTCTCTCTCTCTCTCTCTCTCTCTCTCTCTCTCTCTCTCGTGTGTGCGCGCGGCAGCAAGTACAGCTGAGGTTCATTGCACAAGACGGCGCCCTTGCTTGTGTGCGTAATGAGATTGAGTGGAGTGGTCCGCCGGACCTCTTCGCTCCTCCCTTATTTTCACCTTTTGCTCCAGGGGTATTAGTTTAGCCCCGCCCCTCGCCGCAGCGCACGCGCGTTTACATAAAGATATCCGTAGTACGGGCATTGCTCTAGTTGAGGTCAGGTGTTCAAATAAAGGTGAAATGCGGATTATTGGTTGAACAATAGCAAAACCCATCATAGTCAAACACTGTGAAAAATATCGTCGTAAATTTACAAAAATTTCGTAAACTTGAATTATAATTTAAGTTGAAAATTTTGTTAAAATGTTAAAAGAAAGGTCAGAACTTCACGAAGAATTCGCTGTGAAAAATTTTGCCAGAACTCTTTGTGAAATCACAAAACTCTTCTTCGTTGCCCAAAACTATTACGATTGGTTCACAACTATTTCCAAGTAAGATGGTAAAATGCACTATTTTCGACTACAAAGAAGTGTTGTGATTTCACAGTTACTTCTCGTATCGTAAAAGTGTTGGGAAATCACAAACTATTTTTAACAGTGAAGATCCCAAATTTTAAA